TGCCACTGCTTCTACCAGAATAACCTTTCAATTCTTCCACATTTTCCGTGCCGTGTATCATTATCATTGAGAGCAAAACATTTACAGAAATGCCAAATGTCGCTACTCGGCTTCTTAAAACAAACTGACCTGATTCCAGGTCTAGGAAATTCAGGTGGTACTTTCTAATCATTAATCCTCACGTTCTTTGAAGATTCTTCCCCAACGAAGCTTCAACATCCACACTGCCGTTCGATTACTAGGCGCTATTTTTGTATTTGCTTCATTACTTTTACGTACTATAATCGATAAAGTTTAGATCTGAGATACTGCAGCAGCCGGGAATGTCAAGCAGACGAAATTTCTTAACAAATGGACGGAAAGAACAAAGTCTACGCGTTCTTCCAATGAAATGACATTCCGAAGGGAAGAGATGAGCAGTGCATATATAACAGAACTGATCCATGCAAACGCTCTACTATACCACACATAACTTGCGTATTACGGGACCCGGATGTTCGCTTACAGCTGTACGCATCCATAAAATAAAAGCAACTATTTCGCATGTGTTATGGACAGCAAGCACCAGTGCCACAGCTACTAAAATTGACCGGTAACGTCAGCCGACCCCTTTCTCTAAATGCGAGACTGTCAAAGACATTCAGCGTAACGTCACTGTTGCCTTGTTGTTGTCTTAGTCATCTGGAATATCAGGGTGGTCAAGAAAAGGGTATGCAGATTACTGATTTCTATAAAATTAGTGTACCTTTAGCGGCGTTGTTTTTATTTCAGCTGAGTTCGCCGTCGCGGTCGATTGCGGGCCCATGGCATTGCAACTTAAGCCGACGCTGGCGAAGTTCGGCATGCTGGCGCTGGCCGGGAAGACGGGTGCATTTTCAGTGATCTCGGCACTACTCGGGTTCGAATCAGGTAGGCTCTTGAGGCGTTCCGCCTTATCCGCCGTCAGACCCTCGCTGTCGCCTGAAGTGTAATGCTCCTTCTCACTGAGACTCGACGAGCTGTAAATGGACTCGGTGCGCAACAGTGTTGGGCTCGTATACGTATCACAAAAAACGAGGCCTGCTACGCCCTCTGGATCCTCTCTCGCCATCTCCACCACCTTCTCCAGCTGCTCAGAACAAATGTCCACTTGTGTCTCTTGTATTAACGACTGTTCCACCTACAATGGTTGTCGCGAATGTTAGGCAACAGATACGAACACAAACACACGTATCTGCGACGATTCAAGTTAGCGTTTAGCCTTCAACTTTACGCTCCATTCAAGCATTACAGAACTATTGCCAAACGTTCGATAAAATTACAGGAATAACGATGATCTTGCGTCAAACACTACCAAAACTTTTACAACCTCGAATTCCATGTTGATATTCTCTTCATCAAACAAACTGTATGAAAAAAGTACCTGGTGATGACGTAACCACAGAGTGCAAGGGATCGAGATCAGTAGAACACCCTCAAAAATTCCCTAACTGAGATGACAAAACCAGACAAGTGAGAATATGTTTAAAAAATATCTACAAAAATGATATCCACGCTTTCCTATACCACTTACCTCATTGTACCCTGTGGTCTTCATGAGCATTTCGAACATCATTCGATACGCAGTAATGTATAACTAATACGATGCTAGTAACATGATTAACACGAAACAACACTTGCATAATCTGATAGAATTTTAGTATACTAAAAATTCATATAATTAAAAAGAATAACGCCGTTCCTTCTTCCAAGCGCGGACAAGAAAGAAGGAGAGCTGGACACCGTGGAGAAGCCTCCGCAAAACTTAGCCACCTGCCCATCATGGGAATAACTGAGTCAAAGTAGCATGGCTTTATGAGCAGTATGGCTTTCAGTTCGGTCGAAGCACATCTGACTAAATATTCGCCCTACGCCAGACT